CACACTTAGGCTCAAGCTGTAAGAGAAAATTCCAATTAGCAGAGAAATTAATTTGAAAAATTACCTTGACGTTTCGATAGCTATTTTCTGCTATCATTAAAAAATAATAAGTTAAAAAAATGAATCCGCCTCAACAATATAGAACTTATCTAAAAACTGACTTATTTTTGGACTTTGTGCAGTATCTGGAGGTCTTAGCTACGCTTACCCTAGAAAGAAAGTAGCCATCCCGAGCAGTTGCTGAGTTATGAATTTGTTTTGAAGCTTCCACTTTCTACTATTTTTTGAAAATTGGCTTTCAGCTTAAAACTTTTCTAAAAATCCTACAAAAACCTCCATTTATTTCTGGATTTTCGTGCAATGGGCTATTCTTTGTGGATGGATGTCTGGGCTATTCTTACTCATTACGATTTTTTTTCAGAACTTTTTTGAGAGATTTTTTTTTTATTGCAGAAAGTGCAATTCTACAATTTTCTTTGCAAATTAGGCTCTCCGTTAGAAATAAAAAATTGTATACGGTTCTGGATTTTTTTGTGAAGTACCCAAATGATCCAGCTGCACTGGCGCAAAATTGCAAATATCGGCCGATGCCTACGTTTTCTGCAACGTTTTGCAAATTGAGTTGTCAAATTTGTTTAAATACACCAAAAAACTGACTTTCAAATGTATAAAAACGTATTAGTTTCCTAAATAAACTGTTATTTAGCGAGGGCATTGGGTGCTTAATTTTTAACCGACCGCTTTAGTGGCAATAAAAATGACCAAAGCTTCTAACGAAATACATTTGCTTTTAGCTTTTATCTTGAAGGGAAAGCACAAAGCAGTGACAATAAAAAAAAAATTTGTAGAAATCTCATGGGCTTGTTGGGTACCACTTAAAGCAGGTTCGTAATACGAATGTTTTTAAAGGCGCTCAGTTAAAAATTACTTGGGAATACAAAACGTGGAAAAGTTCTATATTGTTGAAGCGGATTCATTTTTTTACCATCTGTTTGTTGGGTATTTCGAGTTTTGCAATAATTTGCAATCAATATATTTTTTTTTTGTCTAATGTATTTGTCAAGTTTAACTGTAGGACAAAATACAAGATTCTAATTACTAATAAAATAATGTACAACAATTTGTAAAAACAACAAAACTATTTTTTGCAAATAAGTGT